TATATATATATATATATATATATATATATATATATATATATATATATTATCTATTTATGTATATATATTTATATATGTATACATATATATATGTTTATATATGTATATATATATTTCGCCTATTAGGATTTCATAAGGTGCCATTAATGCACTGGTACTGTTTTTTTTCTCATGTTTAATATGCATGTGTTTACCATCCTATCTTGCACTAATCAAAAGTGTAGAACTCACTGCAATCGACATGAATTAAACCTGTCAATTGTAGATGTCATTCTCACGTTTCACTCGTCCTTCATTGCGAGAATTATCTTCCAGGCATTTATAATTACTTCAACCTTTTTATTTTGCGCACAATAACAACACCGCCTGACACTTTGTACGCGTCGAAGAATGAATGAACGAAGTACTTGCCAATTTCCGATAGCTCACATCCGAACATATACTACTGCGTTGCATGTTGCACATCCTCCCATAGTCTTGTAATATTTCGAACTTTATCTTTGACTGTGTGTGTCCAGGTCATTGTTGTGTGCCGCTCAGAGGCACAGAAGGAGCGGTTGCTATCACTGAATAATGGGGAAGTATCCGAGCCCAAGGTGATTGAGACAACAATGGGAGACGACGGCTCAGTTCAAGCGGCAAATACCAATGAGGTATTCGCTGGCATGAGTGGGACAACGGTCTAAATATACATCGCCGGCATATTTGATGTCGACACCTCACTGTTAAATCACTGCACTTTAAAATGTGCTTGTACATTGAGAAAAGGGTATTTCTGCAAACCTTGTTTAATTCTGCGATTTACACATACGTGCCATTTTCCCATTTAAGTCATCCCTGTTCAGTAAACCCGTACTGCTGGGTCTACCGCTGATCACAGAGCAATATTTGATTCTTAAGTCTCTGTCTGTCCCACGGACGAAACAATGAAGCCCACTTATGCGCTTTCTCTCCCTATATAGGGCTGTGTGATTGATGTGGTGGATGTGTGTACCAGCGACGAGGAGATGCGCAGTGCTGAATACGTCAATAGCATTGCCGACAAGCTTAAAGCTCGGTACGGACATGTTGGCCACATAGTAACCATGAACGATACGCACCAGCTGGTAAGTGCCCTTAGTATGGAGTTTGTATGGGAATGAGCTATTGTTGTACCGATTCTGTGTGTACGTCTTGTGTGGGTACTGGTCAAGATTTCAAGGAATGGAGTGGTGCACATACATGAAGACAGACTTGCTATACCAATGTTGTTTGTTCATGTTAGGTCTTGTGCAGACACCAATGTCGCCCTGCATTTATATCGAGATACATATTGTCATCATGATCACACAAAGTCTCGTCGGCAATTTCAGTACCCTCTTCTAGTTTAATCATGCAAATTGCTTTAGTGCATTGGTGTGCATAACATACAGGTTCTCCACTCATCCGGTCTAGAATTACTTGTTGCAACCTGACAAACTGCAAATCCTTCTCAACTTCACACTTGTATTCTTAACCACGTTCATTATCTTTTTGTTTTAGTGCTGGAGAGCGCTGTGGTCACTTGTAAGTACAGAAGGGTCCTTCCTGTTCCTGCGTATGAATGGCCTTGATTCTGGGCCTACCCCTTTCGCGCTACTTAACGAAGCTATGGAGGCCGCCAATGACACAACACAATCAGTGAATGATCTTAAGGTGGCCTTTGACACCTGGAATGACCACTGCAGTGCGTTATGTGGGACAGTTGTGGAGATGATGGAGTCGGGGTGGAACGGGCTCAGGTTGACTGTTCTCTCACCCGAGCAATTAAGCCTCACAACCTTCAATCCGGCAGGTTAAGCTGATATCGCTATTATTATAAAAACAAGTGATTGATATATTTGCGTTCTTGCTGTTGCTATGCGTTTCTAAATTTTCCAAAAAAAAAACCCACCAGTAAACTGAGTTGTGAGGTACTATGTATCATGGTACACTTCGTCCTGAATAGTGTTTTTTCCGAGATGACAGTTGAAGAATACTGCGAACTGGCAATATTACAGGATTCAAAGCAAGAGATATCAAAAGCATCGACCATAGAAGTAGTCGCGTGTATCCTATGTGAATGCATTTATTGTGCGATATTAGATTAGGTATACTAACGTGTTTTATGCCATCAAAGGATCACATAGATTACCATAACTTCGTACAAAATGGACACGGCTAAAACGAAATTTTGGGACCACTACGAGTGATGGGCGAAATACCGAGCCGACGCAAGCCAGTCTGTAAGTATTTCGACCATTCCTTAATTAAATCCGAAGTGGTCGTCGGTACTTCCATTTGTTTAAAATGTACCGCAAGATCCACTCTTCTACCTGTGAGCTTTAAATGCAAAACTTACGTTAAAGCTTGTTAACGAGCTTTAAATTATTGCGCACGAATGAACTTCCATGGTATTGATTACAATAGCTCCACATGTTATGTTTTCGTAAAAAAAGTTGCCGTAAATTTCAGAATTGACAGCTCTCGGGTATTTTGTGTTTAGACGAGACAATACATAAGGATAATAAGTAGAAGCGTCGACCAACTCCCCGTACGGATGAACGATAAATATCGCATATGGTTTAGATTGTGAATGACAGGTAAAGTAATTTGGTATCGCATAATTATATGCCTGAACGATGTAGAATGTGTTAGAATCTTAATACGACACAATTTTGACAATCGAATATGTCACAATATCATCCACAGCGACGTATGTGTCATGTAATCATCAGTCTTGGATTCTTAAATTTATAATACACCCATGATATCTATCTATTTATTTTCATGAATATGTTGACACGGAAGAAAAGGTAGTCACGGGTGCAGACTACTATCGATGTGCATGCCATATAAACACTGTAACATTATTTTTTAATTGCCACTCCTGGCATTGGAATCAACCGTCAAATTCTTGTAGCGAAACACGCAAATAGCACACCTCGGTTCTGGTATGTCTTTCGACCTGCCACATTGAGTATTTTAGTAGTTTCTGCCAAATGACTTTCTTCATATTGTAACAATATTCGCTCTTACCTTTGAATTAACTTCAAGTTTGTAGGACGATGGCTTTTAATATGTCAAACCTCCATCTGCCGACTGATCGAATTCTCGATGCCCGCCACACTGTTTTATGCCTTGTGGTTGACCGCTCGGGTAGTATGGCATCCATGATGAACCAGGTGCATATAAGCATCAATAACTACCTTGACGAACAGCGCCGCACCAACATATCTGATAACTTGAAAACGTCGGTAATTTTAATAACCTTTGATGCCATGATCGAAACATTGTGGAACGGTTACAACCTGGACGAAAGTCGGTACGTGTCGGCTGCCAATGTGCAACCGAGAGATGGTACCGCTCTTTACGATGCGATCGCGGAAGGGATAAATAGAACAGTTGAATTCATTCAAGGTTTACCCAAAACTCCTTTCAAAGTCGTTATGTTCATTCTCACTGATGGGGAAGAGAACTCTTCAAAACAATGGTCAAAAAATGAGATCGCTTCGCAGATCAAGAATCTTAATAGGGCGCCTTACAATTGGGAGTTCTACTTCGCTGCAGCGAATCAAGATGCTATCTTCAGCGGCCTACAGTTGAATATTCCTTATGCGCAATGCATCACGTTTGCGGGTCAAGGGGGAATACAGAATGCATTCGGGGCCACGGGAAAGGCTCACACCCGCATGCGTCGTGGACAGTCGAAGGCCTACACGAATGAAGAGAAAACTTCTGCTATCAATTCTAGCGAGTTGTGAGAGATTTTTCCACAAGAATACTGGGCAGTGGGATGTACTTGGTACAGTCGGTTGACATACTACATAGCGCAATGCTACCCAGTGTAAATGGCCACCATGCTCCGAAGAATATTGGCGTAAGAATAGTATGTATTTAAATATTTCATGAAATACATCGGCTGGCGTTAAAATAGTGTCACAGATCTAATATTCAAGTGAACGTGGCTTGTGCATAAATACATCACAAACTTGCATGAGAATGACTGATGGAATTTGGCATGTAATTTCGGTTCACGACCTAATCGATCATTCATGAATCAGGAATAGATTCCAATTGGAAACTCTTAAATATCATTGGCGAAATATATACCGAGCCGGCGAGTCTGTAAATATTTCGACCCTTCCTCATCAGTCGTCACTCAAATCAGAAGAGGTCGTCGGGTATTTCCGTTTTAATACGGCAAGATCAAAATACTCTACTTCCTGCGAGCTTTAAAAATACAAAACATTAAAAAATTGCCGTATTTTTTTTTAAAATTGGCAGCTCACCTTAGCATTTCGAGTTTGGACGAGACAATATATAAGGATATTAAGCAGATACGTCCATCAACTCCCCATGCGTATGAACGATTCATACCGCATACGGGTGCGAATTGTGAATGCGACCTTGAGTTTGACGTAGCGTGGGTGAAATATCTGTGGTATCGTACAAATATTTGCCTAAACGTTGTAAAATGTCTGTTTATAGTTTCTGGTCAGGGCACGATTTTACTGTGGACACTACAATCGAATGTCGAACAACAATCGCATACAGTAACGTGCGTGTCATGTGTTCATCAGCCTTATGATTGATATGCCCACGATATTTTTGTCTTTATTTTCATTCTTTCTGTAATAAAAGGGCTGTCACGGGCTGTGACTACCATTGATGACAACGCAATCATGTTCACTATTTATGGACTGAACATTATTATTTGATTGTCACTATTAGCATTAAAAGCAAAGGTATAAAATCCTTGTACCGAAACACGCCAACAGCACACCTCGGCGCTGGTATATTTTTCAGTACACCACATTCGATATTTGGTAGTTTCTGTCAATCAGCTTGTATAGTATCATAATACTTGCTTTGATCGTGGAATACTTGAAAGCTCGATTATTTTCTCTAGACGAACTTTAGATTCGTGGGACGATGGCTTTTGCTATGTCATTGACTTATCTGCCAATAAATCGAATTTTCGACGCCCGCCACACTGTCTTATGCCTTGTGGTTGGCCGCTCGGGCAGTATGGGCTCCATGTCGAACCAAGTGAATACGAGCATCAATAAGTACCTTGACGAGCAGCGCCGAACCAAATTATCAGATAACTAGAAAATGTCGGCAATTTTGATAACCTTTGATCACTTGGTCGATGTGGTGTGCTACGGAACCAATCTGGACGTTGATCGGTACGTATCGCCTGCCGATGAGGCACCAAGGGATATGGCCGCCCTTTACGATGCGATCGCAGTAGGTTTGGATAGAACAACTGAACTCGTTCAATCTTTACACAAAATTCCTCTCATTGTCGTCATATTCGTTTCACTGATGGGTATGAGTATGCTTCAAAACGTTGGTCACAAAATGAGATCGCTGCAGCAATTAAGTATCTAAATGGGGCGACTCACAACTGGGAGTTCAACTTCGCTGCAGCAAATCAAAATGCTATCATCAACGGCCTACGGCAATGCATCACGTTTGCGGGTCAAAGAGGAATGCAGAAGGCATTCGAGACCACCGGAAAGGCTCACACCCGCTTGGGACGTGGACATTCGAAGGCCTACACGAACGAAGAGAAAACTTCTGCTATCAATGCTAGCGAGTTGCGAGAGATTTTACACGAATACTGGTCAGCATGTTGTTCTTGGTACAATCGGTTGACATACTACATAGCGCAATACTACCCAGTGCAACAACTACCACAAGACGACGAAGAACATAGGCGAAAAGAATATGCTAGGAGGAAACGTATATTTTGCATTGCAAAGTCGACAATTACTCGAACGGACAAACACTTGCTGTATTTTGAAATTAATTGTCCAATCTATATTGATTGTTGCTGTCGGAGTATGTCAGGTATATTGATAATGTTTGGGTTGGATTGTGATATATCAGTGAATACTTCTGTTTGTTGCACGACTCTACCGTGCGTCTATTGTCGTAGTATGTGGTTATTTCATTGTATCTGCTGGCGCTAAAATAGTCTCGCACTTTACTTACATTACAAACTTGCATACAATTAGACTGGTAAAATTTAGCACATATTTCCTACTCACGATCTAATCTATCACCCGTGGATCGGGACTAAGAAACACAACCTATAGAAACAGATGACATAGCATGTGTGATAGCTTGTTAGTGCTGTTACAGCAATCGGCTGCTCTGATCTGGTGTCATTCCGGCCGAGTGCTTTTGAGTAGACTACCTGAACAATATCTTCAGTCAAGGAACTGAGTTTAGATTTTGAATGATGACAACCAGCATCGTGCTCGTTCACCCATTAGATGAGCTGCGCTTAAGATCTGTGCATGCGCTGATGGCGCCAATGAGTGTGGGGTGTTGTGCAAGTGAGTATACGAATTTGTATTTGAATATGATCCTATTGAGACTTTGGTACGTTGCCTTTACAACTCTTTAGTCTCTGGCCACGTCTGATAAATTGATCGCTTATTCGCTGAGAATATTCTTAACGTGGCCTGAGATGAAATACTGTGCTCGACGGTGCCTATGGAGGTATGCAGTCGCAGGCATAGTGGTCGCAAGACCCGGTCGCAGTCATAGTGGTCGTAGTCTTAACAAATCTCTATATCTGTGTCATGAAAAATAATAAAAATACTTTTCGCCTCTGATACTACTCCGTGGACAACTTTTCTTTCGTAGAGTCAGTATTTTCTTAATTAATCCGCAGTCTCCCTGAATTGGTTTAATTTTTTCTAGTTTTTAACCTCCCATTCAACCTCCCCATTAGATCCCCACTCCTGTAGTCTCCATGACTTAGAGACTACAACAGGGACAAGCTCTCAGAGATGGATCTTAATGTGCATAACTTCGATACCGTAGAGCTATTCGACCCATGGAACCCCAGGCCTCTTGTGATGGTCCCCTAGTTTATAATAGGCACAGCGGCTCCCCAAAACGGGGGCAAATGGTACCAGACAAAAACTTCTAAGCCAGTTTGTTTTTCAATTTTATACTCTAAAATATGTTCTATTTTCAGAAGGCTTTTGGGTTTTTTTACAAACCCTTTTGATTTGTAAACAAACAACCCCAATTTTGTCAAGGGCTCATCAGTGATCAGTGATCAGTCATCACCGCTCAATCGCATTTTTTTTATAAAAAAACAAAAAAGTTTATAGTCGTCCACGGTTTCTGCCCCAGAGGGCCCAGGCTCTATATATAACTGCATGAATATTAAATTCTGTCAGGACCTGTGAGACTGGGAGACTGGGAGTCTCCCAGTCTAGAGAAACCCCCCAGGACCGGGGCGGGGATCCAGGTCCAGGGCAGGACCAGGAGTCCAGGACCCAGGACGCCATGGATATGGGAGCGGGACAGTGGGAGTCTCAGTCTGACTCTTGGCCCCTGGGGTTTTGGGAGTGACTGGGACAAACATTAAATTAGTACAAATACAAAGTACCACTGACAACAAGTGACAACTGTTGAACTGATCAATTATTTATAATTTTTATAATTGTAATTGTCATAAAATTAAAAAGCACATAATATTGAACAGTTATCCTAGAGAATCTCAAGTAGCTTACTCCAAATTCATTAGAGTATATTATCATTGGGTTGCACTTTTAGACGGAGCATTATACTATTTACTTCATTGAGTGCATTCAGATGGTCATGGAATCAGGAATCCAGCACTCGGCAGTCGGCACTCCTGACTCTGTTGAGGCGCCGACTCCAGATCTCCACTCTCCAGTCTCCACTCTCCAGCAGTCCAGACTCCAGCGAGTCCAGCCTGGGGCCCTACTAGTAGAGAGGTCCTCTACTAATGGCCTACGCCCTACTATAGTACTATTTTAATATTTATGTACATAGACTCCGGCAGTGAGTCCAGTCCTCCTGTTCTTCACTCTGCAGCGGTCCAGCCCATTCCCAAATGTGAAATGGTAAATGCTCTGGTCGGCGGTCGCTTGAATAGTCCACCATATTACTATTAATATTAGTTATGGTTTTTGGGATAGTTTAAAAAACAAAAACAAAAACAAAATACAAGTAGTCTGATCATCTGATGAGACGATGAGACGATGAGGCCCGCGGCCCTGCGGCCTGCGCCTTGGTAGTGATTTGGCGAGGAGTCCTCAGAGTTCAGACTCCTCACTGAGGCTCTGACATTTTGAGGCTCTGGCCTCTCACATTGAGAGTTTCTAGAGAGCTACGCGACAGAGCTTTTTTACTTATTTTGATCGGAATCTGCAAAATATTTAAAAAAGCAAGTACATAAATAGAATAATAAATACTCGGCACTGGCAGCAGCATCAATTTGTACCCAGTCCAGTAATACTGTAATAGTTCTCTTACGCTCTGGTTGGCGACTCGCGTATGTATTCGACAAATTGCATATAAATACCGAATGTTTTCCTCGTTGTACAATAAAATTAACACAATATAATCTAAACAATCCCACAGAAAACATGAGTGTGCGGTTCGAGTTAGCAGCTATTGCAACTGCACTACTTGCGATACTCATACCATCTGACGTGCTCGGGGCTGGTCTGCCACACAGCGATATCGAAACCACACATCAGCTATTATCCGGGGCTTCTCAATTTGTTAGCAGACATGTTCGTGATGAATCCAGCACACCCTCATTGGCTAATGTTCTGGGCGAGATGAACATGACAGAATTGATGGCTGATGATAACACTGACAAGCTTGAAATGGTCATGGATGTATTTTTGGGTGCAAATTCGGGAGGCTTAATCACTCAGAATAGAACCATTACATCATACAATGAGACCTTCGATATGTGCACAATCTCGGCCAACCAGTCGTGCTCTATGAGTTATCTGCGTGAGAACCAATCTGAGGGCAAGCAAGGGTGGATTGTGATGCCTGGCAACGGCACAATGTGCCTTGATGGTTCTCCATTCGGGTTCCAAGTCTACCCTGGAAACAACCAAACAGAGAAATCGCTCTTCTGGTTCCAGGGCGGCGGTGCGTGTTACGATTATGAAACCTGTATCAAGCTGAGCACCGCTCTCAGTTCATTCTCACCCGAGAGCTCTGGTGTGTTCAACTATGCTGAACCTTCCAACCCCATCGGTGGAAACCGGTGGACTACCGTTGTGAACAACTATTGCACTGGAGACGCGTTCATGGGCACAAATAAAACCCAAACCTTTACAGACGAGCCTTTCTCGAACAAGTCGGCTGAGGTGCATTTCAACGGTGCAACGAACACACTTGCTGTGCTTGACTGGTTTGCAGCACAGCCAGAGAGCAAGCCATCGAACAAGCTGGCTGTAGGTGGATGCAGTGCGGGTAGTCTGGGCGCCCAATTCTGGTCAAAGTATCTCGTAGAGAACTACAATGCATCCAATTTCGTACTCGACAGCTACATAGGTGACTTCTCGGCACCTACCGGGGGCGACTTGAATGTGATGGGTGTGTGCGATACGGGCGCCAATCTGATGGGATGGACGCCGGAATACACCGCTGCATGTGCAAACGGGTCAATGCACGAGATGAGCGACTTCTTCGGACCGAACCTGGAGGCAATCTCACCTGTGCCGATTGCATACGTGGGTTCATTGAACGACATAGTGCAGAAGAGCTACTACGTGATCACCGCTTCCAACGACGACAGCATTATCACTCCGTTCCTCCGGGCCCTTACCGAGATCCAATCTACCTTCACTCCGTACTTACTTGATACTCTGGGCAGCTATCAAACAATCGGTAGCCAGTTCAGTTACTATTTGGTGGATTCCGACCAACACTGCTTCCTGCCGCAAGCCAATTTCTACGATGCTGCCGATATTACTGCAAATGACGCTGGAAATTTGACTATGCTGGACTTTGTGAATGATTTTCTAAATAATGATGTATACGGATCGGTCAGTTACCCTGCGCGTAAGTGAGCGTCTTCCAATCGAAATAAATATCTACCATAACATTAGCAAACGCAATTCAATTTTAAACTTTTTTACCCCTGTGTTTCAACGCAGCAAAGCTCTATCTGGCTATATGGCTTGTCGAACCAACCCTATACACAAGTTACGGCTGAGAATTTTGATGGCGAAGGTGAACGATTGGGCGTTTAGACCTCATTATGTTTGGTAAAATTTTCATCGCGAGCATGAGTGCAATAAATCACCCGTGCACATAGGATGACTTTGTGCGCTTACAAGTTGCTACATTCACTCACGCAAGGTGGTCTGTCATGTTAACTGTTGTACTGCATCTCATTCGTTGGCATGCACCGTCCCCTGACACAAATGAAATGCGACAAGAACCATGTATATCAATCGATTAGCTTTATTTATTTTGACTGATAGGGCTTCGTCTACTAGCTTGACTTATCCCATACTTTTGGGATGGGAGTATTGTAGCTTCTTGTTGTGCAGGTTGGTATGCATGTCAAATGCGATTCGTGGCATAAGCTTGACTTTCTATCACAGCGCCACTTCAATTGCGGCGTATGAATTTATCAATGACCACATAAATATGGCATCATCAATAGTAGTCACTTTATCCATCAACCATCCTTCGAATGGGAATTGGGAGACTGCCAATCCAAGGATTGTGTGGGGGTTTCTAATAGGCCTTTCCGAGACACATCCAACACATTCAACATGCCAAAATGAACATCCTAACGTTCGCCTAACAATCCCTATCGATTCTGCATCCGCATTCGTCACAAGACCCCTAGTACGGGTCGATCGATGTATGATGGCTCTCTTATCTATGTGCAAGGGTTCTGTTTCCACGGCACGCTAACCACACCTCATCAAAGCCTCGGGTGCTCAAAAGACCGGTGCCGTTTACCAACCCACACACAACTGTGTCACCGGCTTTAGGTCATGTATGAGCCTAGCTCACTCAGTCAGCTACGTAGCCAACAGAGGCAAAGCAAGCAAGCGAGACATGTTCGTTCTTGTAGTAGAACACTTAGCTTGAACGCATGGACACTGGGTAGGGCATTGTGCACCGATACGAGATTCGATATCGTCCCAAACGCGGCTACTATACGCACCCGTCTTAGAACAGGCCCGCCATCTGCCTTAGCCACTCGACCTGTTTCAAGGGGCGTCTCCCCACCACCTGTGACCACAGACGATTCATTGACATCACAGCACTCCGTTGCGCGAACGATTGCATGTTTGGAATCCGCGCCGGCATCGGTATACGGAACACGGAACTCTCCTATTACACGTGGACCTCTATAGCAAATGCCTACAATGAGGAGTGTATGTTCCCTGCACGCACGAGACTTCGATTTTTTGGTCTGACGTTGTCGTTGTCTATAGGCATGTCCCCCGTTCTTGTATCTGTCGAGATACACACCGAGGCGCTCAGTCCCCGATCCGCCGGTAATCAGACTCTTGGAGGTTGTTGCGATCTCCTCAAACCTCAAACGCTCGACTAAACGCTTCTCGAATACAAAAGGAGCAGCTCACTATCGATATGCCTGTATAGCCGTGTACCTCCTGAGGGTGCTATGTACACTCCGATGCGAATAAGCCCGCAAAGACTGGGCAGATGAGGTTACAACTGCACCACAGTGGAGTAGTATAGTATAACACTATCATAACTTGTCGCTGTAGTCACAGAGCAACTCTTTCTACCGGCCCATCTTGGCGCTGATTAAGTAAGCTAAACGTCGAGTCAGTCGATATTAAACAACAACTAATTCTCACTGGCCCGCTAATTATAAATAGCTAGTCGTGTAGGCTACTTGATTTCGTCTGCCGTGGAACCACGTGGCTGCAATTTTAACCGGTGATCAAAAAAAGGAAAAAGAAAAAAGAAAAAAAAGGCAAGTTTATGAGTATGTGGTCTGGTGCATGCAACGCCAATGCCAAGAGATAGTACCGGAATGACAAAAAGAGTGATACCGGGACGATAAGGGCGACTTCCGAATGACGGGTGATGTACGTACAGCGACAGGAGTTTACATTGACGAAGGACTAAAGGCAGTGACCGCAGCGACCTGGAAATTGCGAAGTGCCATAGTAGGGAATACACACATACCTCTAGTTTAAGAGAAAGTTCGTAGTCTTCCTCTTCGTCCAACGGGTCTATGTAGCTCGTTAGGATGTTCATCTGCAGGAGAGACGAAATAGGAAGACATTGTTAAAAAAATCTAGATCCATATTGAAGTGCTTATGATTTTTGAGTATGTCAATAGACATGCGTATATATATATATATATATATTTATATACATATACATATACACAAACACACCTATATATATAGTATAAAACGACTTACAATCTCTTGGTTATATTTAAGGTCCGTGTAGGCAATTTCTTGGCACTTGATGATGTCCACGATCACCTTGTATGTCTTACGCAGTTTCTCCAGATTGACATAGTCGGGGTATTCTTTTAGGTTGTCCGAGTTGCCATCGTCAATAAAAGTCAGGTCCGTCAAATGCACGCCTGCAGGGATTAACATCAGAAGCGGTAGAGGTTAGGGCTGATAAGGAATGAATGCAGAGGATAACAGTAGTATCATGTACATGCACCATGTTAAAACATATTTAGGTATAGTAGTAACTGTGATACATATAATAGTATATTAGTATGTCGTGCATATATTCGTAATTTTGACCATGGTAAAACCAAGTCTCTATACGTGATTATATACACAACGTTGGAATCAGCAATACCAGACACGCCAGATATACCATATATATATATATATACATAAATGGATAAACACATACGTACCCAGGAACGGGATTTTCGCGGTCCTGATGAAGTGTAGTGTTTTGCGGTATTGAGCTGAGTTGTTGTTGGGTGCTAAGGTGGCACGCATGGTGGTCAGTTTGTGTTTGAGTGAACTGTTGATACCCTCCCACGTGTGATGCAATCTATTTATGGCTGCGTTGGAGAAGCCTGCGACCAGAGCCATAGTGGTTGCGAAGTTGTTCATCTGGTAGCACCGCTGTAGGGAGGAGAAGAGAGAGGGGGTGGTGCAGATAATTTAGAGTAACGCAAGGCGGGTTATGATTATAAAGTTACGATGATATATATATATATATATACATATACATATACACACACACACACACACACACACACACACACACACACACACCACCACACACACACACACACACAC